ATTGATGGATGTCCCTTAAATGTCCCTTAAATGATGTCCCTTAAATTTCAAAGGAAGCAGCTCCTCTCCCTCCCTCCCTGCCAGCCAGGGAAGAGGGAGGCTCCAACTGTGTTGCTTGGCTGTGTTGCTCATCCAATAAGAAGTCTAAGAACGACTGGGGGTGGAGCTTGCATGCCTTGTGTGTGGCTAGTTAATGCAAGCTGAGAGGGTTTTTGAATGCTGGACGTCATTTTGTTGCACATGCTGCTGCAAACTTTGCAGTGCAAAGCTGGGCCGGGGAGCCATCTTAAGTTGAGGCTGCATAGGCCTTGTGGTGCATGTGATTCAGATTCTATTCTGTTGAACCTCCGGTTACAAAGTTGGTTGGACAGTGTTCTTGAAGCTACCAGCATGAGTTTGACCAGACTGCAGGAGGACAGGAAGACTGGAGTGCCTGGAACAGGTGAGGCTGCAGGTCCCTTATTTTCAAGGCTGCTGGTCCCTTATTTTCAAGGCTGCTGGTCCCTTATTTTCAAATCTGTAAGTTGACAGCTATGGATGGTTCAATAGTTAGTTCAAGCTCAGGGAGAACCTAAATCCAAAAGGGATACATGCATGGCAACCTTCAGGGCCAGGTGGTAGAGCCTGAGACTCTTAATCTCAAGGTTGTAGGTTTGAGCCCCATGTTGGGGAAAAAGATTGCTGCATTGCAGGGGATTAAACTAAATGTGCCTCATGGTCCCTTTCCACTCTACCCCATAGTGACAGGAAAAATCTGTCAATTCTTCTTTCTCTCAGTTTTGTATGTCCCCATATTTAGGCTGAGGCCTCCACATTTCTGCATCTCTTTGCACTTAAAAATGTCCACATAATCATCAGCATTTCAGTGTACATTTCTCCTATTAAGCACATTTTTAATGCAATTTTACCTAATAAACACATCCTAGCAAGCAATTTACCTAACATAATGCATATTTGTATTATTGTCACTATTTTATGCATATTTATTCACATTTTCCCCTAATACAAGCAGTTTTGTACACACATTTTTTGGTTGCAGATCTGTTTTGGATAATTCAGAGAAGTGTGAATTTTGAAGAGTAGCTGCACTTTGGTTCATGCATCGTTTCAAAAAAGGGTGACTTAGGAAGGCTTGCATTAAAATGCAAACTAATTCAGATTTCTCCCCCATCCCTAGTTCTGTGACAATCTGGGATAATTCCAAGAAAACTGCACACAGTTCCATTAAATCTTCGAGCAGAAACTAATGTTTTGAACCTTTATAGTGTAATATAAAGAGCTTGTAACAAAGGCTCACTCTATTTACATTCTGAAATGTATGTCTAGTGCTAACTATATGAAGTAAGGTAATGCCTCTGGGCATGGCAGGATCATATGTATCTCTGCAGACAGCCCAGGGCATTGCCCAAACAATAAAATAACCTGAGGTGTTTTTTGTTTTGTTCTGTTTTTTGTTTTGCAAATGATGGAAATGTTCTCAGTAAAATGAGCTTTGACACAGTGTGAACTCTAACAAACTAGCAGCTTCAAATAACTGACATTTCAACCATGAGGGTCTTGTTGTAAGAGAGATCCTATGCACCTTGCCTCCATTTGTTATTTTGAAAACACAAAAAAGAAATGAAACTGGCTTCTCTAATTCACCTTTAACCTCATCTGCTTTGGCAGTTAAGTTCTGATGAGGGTTTATGTTAATTTTTACTGCATTCCTAATAATGAGAAATATTTGGCAGATTAACATCATTTAGTTTCCTTTTCCCAAGAGAGAGAGAGAATGTGTGGGGGGGGGGGTAGTTCTGCAAAAGTGGGGAATATTAAAACCAAATTAACAGAAATGCATGAAAAGTTCAGGAGCCCCCTGCTACTCCTCTGTGAGGTTCCATCCTTTATTTACTGCTGACAGTCCATCTGTCAGCTTCTAAGCAATGCAGAGGAAGAGAGTACACCTGTCAACACGTCTGTGTGGTAGAGATGGAGCAGATGTTGGAATTTGCACCGCTGACGCTCGCATTTATCATGTTTGGCATAAAACCACTAATAAAGGGGAAATGGTAGCTATCCCCTACGATGCTTCCCCCCCCCCACCTCCCCTTACACAACCACCACCTCTGTAGAATTTCTGGAAGCTGCATATATCCCTTCCAGCTTTGCTTCACAGATGGGAAGACGGGATTCAGCATGGAAATTTAATTTTACTAGAATTCAACCCAAACAGAATAATGTGTTTAATATCTATGCAGCGCAAGAGAAAGAGAAGATTCATTTGCTCTCACGAGGCAAGGGAAAGTGATGCATTAAAGCCTCTGTTTTGGTACGGAAGAAATATAAATTCACTTTCACATATGCACACAAATGCATTAAGGCAAGGGCATGAAACAAATCAACAGAAGCAAGTGCAAAGGGGGCGAAATGTATCAGGGTTTGCAAAATGATTGCTGTTATATATTTTATTATCTATTATTAATTCCTAGCCAAAAAAAAGTGAATGTTGCACATAAAGGAGGAATAGTTATGTAAATGGTCTGACAATGAGCAGGAAAGAAATGGAAGCTAAATATCAGAGAGGGGTCAGCAAAGTCGATTGGAGTGCAACTTACAGAAACAGCAATAGTCTCCATCAATTAGGACATGGGGAGCAGAAATGGAGTATTAGAGGAATGGACTATGGGGAGCCATTCAGCATTAGATGGGAGGGAGGGAGGGAGGAATTAATATCTATACTCAGCACTTTTCTCCTCTGCAACACTTTCTTTGCGTTAATTAGGTAATATCCACAATTCCCAGAAAGGTTCCATAAGCAATGGAGAGCATCTTCAGTGTGCCTGGGGGTGAAACCGAGGTACAAAGGAGCTCAGATAATTAAAGAAATAAAAATCACATGAGTAACATACACAGGGAAATGTATTTGTAGATAAATGAACTATGTAGTGAATGTCATGTAAAACCTTTCCACCACAGTAATGTTGCATATCAAAGATCTTTTGGTTTACCTAAAACACTTCAGATTCTTCGTCCGAGAAGACAACTCAGATGATATCCCAGTGTGACTTCAGCAGGTGAAATAGCTTTGAAATCAGGCAACTTCTTTTAGTTCCTCATTGACAGGGGAATGCAAAGTTCAACTTCTAGGAGATCCCATGGATCCACTAAATAAGGGCCCCAGTACTTTAGATCAGGAAAAGACTGGCTACCAGAAGAAAAGGCACAAGAGGCATGAATGACGAAGAATGGATTAAGAGGGAGGTTTCTGTAGCAATACCTAAATAGTTAGGTCCACACAATAGGACTTTTACATTTTTGCTCATTTCTTTAATGATGCACCAAAGGGATGCACTTTCCATTTGAGTCTGAAAGTTGGAAGACTTTTTATGAGGAAACAATAGCCAAATATAAAAAATGAATTGAAATCATTTTGATGCAATCATGAGACTGAAGAATGAGGCCTTCCCTCTGTCATAATTCACAGAGGACCAGCACAGCTTCTCTAGCTGGCTTCATCACTGGAAGTCTTTCATTGTTGTCTTTCTTTTTTGCTCTCTTATATTAACTTTGTTAAAATATTTATGCTTAACCTTTGAGTCTCAGGCTATACAAAATCTTATACCAATCAAAAAGATTCGGTTTCTTCTGTTTTGGTATCAGGTACCTGCCTGAATTCAAGCTTATCTATTATTATTTCCAGTCCTTTAAAAATACAAAATATCAATCACCTTATTTACAAAAAGCTTACAACAGAAGGTTTCTTTATTTCTCATTGTTTCTTAAATTATGCCAAAGTGAAAATAAAGATTATCCTGGGACTAAAGGAGTGCTGGGAATCTTTAATGCATTATGGATTAAAGCATTATAAATATAATGTCACCAGCCTATCTCCTTGTCTACACTAGCATGAAGGCAGCCCTGTTTAGGGAAGTTTTTAATGTTTGATGTTTTGCTGTGTTTTTAATATTCTGTTGGGAGCCACCCAGAGTGGCTGGGGAACCCCAGCCAGATGGGGTGGGATATAAATAATAATAAATAATTATAATACACCCAAGGAGAGAGGTGTTAAGATCTTTAACCCAGAGTCCTAGGCTGAATCTAGACACATAAAAAAAAAAGTTTCAGAAAAATGCATTGTAAACCTCATAATGGGAAATCATGTTGGTGAAAGACAGAACTCTACAGCACTATTTGGTGTCACAGTGTTATAACACATTTTAAAATGTTTATTCTTTACTAATGTAGCAGAGTCCCTAGTGTGCTACAGCAGAATGAGTGTTCTGAGAAGATGAGGCATTGGCAGGAAAAGAATAAAGAGGTATCAGAGCAGGGTCTAGAATATTTGAATACACAGATTACTACAAAGATAGAATCATATAATTGTAGGATTGAAAGGAAAACAAAAGGACATCTAGTTCAACCTCCTGCAATGCAGAAATCACAGCTAAACCACAGGGGTAAAGCATTTCAAACTAAAGCAACAATTCAGCACAGGCTGCTCTTTAAGGGCAAATGGGGCAGTGCCCCCCACCTATTCTGCCCCAACTAGTTCCTGCCTGCCTGTCTTCTTACTTACAACTAGTTCAGCTTCCTCCTCCTTGTTCTCATGTTGGGATAACACTTCCATATGCACTGCAGTCACTGCATTTCAGCACTGGGATTTTAATCACACAACGTTATCCAAAATGCCCATGCAACCTGGACTTTATTACAGCATACTTGTGTTTGATGTGTCGTTTCTCAAACCAGATCCACAACCATTCCTAATTCTTGATCTTAGGTGTGATGTTAGGGACAATATATATATTTTTGTTAGATGATCAGCAATTGCAGATTTCAGTTCTTTCAGAACTTTTGGATACTTGGAACACCATTCTCTGGACATGGTGATTTGTTACTCTTTAATTTGTTGACAAGGCCTAGAGTGTCACCTCTTATCCCCTCTCCGCATTTGTTCCCTTCCTGAAAATGACAGTTCAGTCACTTGCACAGTGAAAACAGATGCATATTTTTTTTTTCAGCTTCTCTGCCTTGTCTTTCTTCAGAACACCTTTAATCCCCTTGCTGTCCAATGAGCCAACCAAGTCCCCTGCGTACTGAAAGCTGTGTTTTTTAACGATTGGGGTAGTTAAAGGTAGTATCATCATCATCATCATTTTTGTGGGTCTTAATGTTTTTAGCATCATTAATTAATTAATTAATTAATTAATTCAGTGTCCATTTGCAATTTTTTTTGCTAAAGTTTGTGCTTCTTTCTTATACACCTTGTTTGGGTAAGCCTTCTGTTTTCTGAAGGAAGCATTCATCCTCTAATTAATAGCTTCATGACTCTGTTTATTAACTACACTACTCTTGGACTCAGTTAAATCTTTTCTCATTTGTGATGTTTGTGTGTTCAACCTGAGCTTCCATCATTGTGTTCTGAGTAAGTTCTCAAGAGTTCTGGAGAGGTTTGTCCACACGGGCAGTGCAAATGTCTGTGGGAATGGGCAGATTTTTGCACTGTCTACACAGTGCTACTCCTGTAAATTAAGCTTCTGAATGCTGCCATTGCATCTGGGTTTATTTTCTATTCCTATTCACACACCCGAATGAATACCACATATAAAGCTAATTCCTCATTAGAAATATGTAATAACAACTTCTTCTGTTGATTTGCTCCCCAACAAATCTGGTCGGAGGTGATGCATAGCCTTTTAAAATTAGTAGGAAAGTTAACATTAACAATGTGCATTGCTGCCTGATTGCTTGTATTTCAACTGTTGTAACATGGAAATCAATTAACTTGCAGTCCTTGCTTCTTTCCATGTTTCCGGCATGCTTAACATCTGTGACTTCTCAAGATGTTTGGTGCATTTCATTCATCATACATGGCATTTGCATAATGCAAACTTCCCACTTTAGGCAGACACATTGAATATTTTGTAGATTGCAGTTGCTATTTAGCCTACACATAAATAATGAGTGCATGGGATCTGCCTGCAGAAATCTGCAAATGTAAGAACCAGAACATCTTTTTTGTTCACATTGCAATGGTATACATATATACCTTTCACATCCCTTGCAAAAGCAATTCTTTTTCCTTTTATTTTCTTTCAAAGGCCATTAAAATTCTATTAGCTGCTTTCAAATATTATTTCATGCCATCTGCATTTATTCCAAAGTTGTGATAACAACAGCTGCAATCATTTGTATGCATTTGTGTATGTGTGTATACAGCCACTTATTGAGTAAAAGAACTCCCCCTAACCCTGCGCTGTCAATGACGATTTAGTCAAATGCAGTGAAGGTTTGTTTGCAAATTGCTTTCTGTGCCATATTATTTTACTTATTAGGATGGCAAGAAGAGGAAGCCAAGTGTCAAAGACACACAAGACTGTCTTATCACAAGTGATAAACGGAAACACAGTTTCTTCCCATGTTTTTATTTATATGTCTGTTTGGACCACGGTGCTAGGCTGACAGTGATTAAAAACCTAACAGTGGGAAAATAACCACCCTTAGCTACTACCAGAAGTAGTGTGCGCTTGGCTTTCTGGCAGGCTGAGAAATATGAATCTCCTTCTTATAACTATTGTAGAACTGGCCATTGAGAAACATAAACTGCAAGATTTAATGGGTTAGATCCTCAGTGGCTATAAAAGTGCACAGATGTCTTTAGGATGGATTGTCCCTAATACTATACTAATGTTAGTGGTGTAGTGGAGTCACAAAGTGATTAGGCAGCTCAGTCATGATCTGCCGTCCTGTCCCCTCTGGTTAAAGGGTTCTTATGGGGTAGATTGGGCCAGGAAGCATCATATCCACTGTTGCTAATCATGCTCTGGCAGGAACCTTACAGTTATAAAGTGGCATTTCCCCCCTTGCAGATTACAAGATCTTTGGAAGAGCAGATTGCACTCTCAGGGCATGCACTCAGGTTCAGAGCCCAGTCTCTTCCCTCCTTTAGACCACAAGCTGGGGGGAAACATGAGACAGTCTGCTTCAAGTTCCTTCTGGGGTAATTTGTCCACCTTTGGTTCCAACCCTGCATTCAGTTCTCAGCTGTGGCTCCCAGATGCTGTTGGCGTGTGACAGTGGCCACACCCCGGGAATGGTTTTCACTGGCTGGCTAAATCAGGTGAGGATAGCCCATGTGTCTTAAACCCTCAGTGAGTTAGGGACCAGGGGCATCTTACCCATAGAGGCTAGTGGTGCGGGGTGCCAGGGCGCCAAGTTCTGGAGGGCACCAGGGAAGAGGCAGAGGCTGGATGGGGCACCTCCTGGCATCAGCTCACCATCCTCACCCACCTCCACCATGCTGCACTGAAGCAGCGCTGTGCCCGGAGCCTCCATCTGCCACGGGCACTGTGGCACAAAGCATCCAGCTGAGCCAGGAGGTGCTGCGTCCAGCCTCCGCCTCTTCCCCTTTGGAGGAGCTGCCCTCCAGCCACTGCCCACCTCCTCCAGGCCTGCCCGCAGTGCAGGGGGGGGGGCACCGGAGGGAGCTTTGCACCACGGCACTGGATATGCTTAAGACAGCCCTGTTAGGGACTTCCCTTGTATGTGAAGAGTGGCTCTGGCAGATTGAGTGGATGAGACCAATAGTGGGTCCAGTGATAAAGAAAGTAGTTTCTGCACATGCTGTAGAGGGAAGTGAGGGGCAGATGGGGCTCATCAACTTGCAAAGGTAGCCCAACCAGAAGAAGGTAAACTCTGGTCCTAAACCTCTACTGCCCTGTGGGATATGTTTGGGAGAAGAAAAGGCTAAGGAGTAAACCCTACACAAATCCTGAGTGGAGTCCCTAACATAGTTGGATGGTGCCTTGTATGCCTCCTTATGGCAACTCCTGCAGCCAAGCTGGTGCCAAACATATTGCTCTGCTTTCCCTTGGGCCACATCAGTGAGGCCAAGAGGTGTTGTCATTTGGGCAGCCCAAGACCTCCATACACACTGCCCACACTTGCGCCCCAGGGAGGTCACTTTGATGTCACAAACACAGCAGTTTGACTCCACCCCCCCAGAGGCACACTCCATTGACTCTCAAGCCAGATGGATGCCAACCTCCAATAATCTCCATATCAACCAAGGTGATAGAAAGCTAGAAGAAGATCAAAGGCAGTGTCCATCTTGCTTTCAAATGGAGCTAGTCAAGAATTCTAAGTTTAGCTAGATCAGCAGCATCCACATTATCTTAAATTACCATCACAGGAGGCAAAACAGCACAGAGATTCTCAGGTGTTAAATGTTTCACTGGCCTGGAGGTTGATTAATGTAAATATTCTCTAAAGGTGAAGAAGCAAAGTCATCCAAAATGATTGCTTCTCTCCCCCACCCCTTCCACTGTTTATTCTCATCCTTCTGAGACACTCAGAGGAACTCAGGCATCAGTGTAAAACAACTCACTCTAGATAATCCTCTCTGAGTCATGAATTTAAATACCTTGTTCCCATTAGCACCTTTAATAGTCTCTTCTAAGAAGCTCTGATGAGGTTATGGCTGCTTTTGCCAGAGGGTCACAGTGGTTCATGGCACACGCCGTAATTCTGCAATGCTCTACTGAGTGGGAGGCCTGTTTCTCAAATGGAGCATTTAAAATTATGGTTTAATGACGGAGAGATAAAAAATGTGACTGTCATCATTATTAACTAGTAAAATCAGAACATCATTGCTTATGAGCTGCTTACTATTCCACAACCTTATGTGCCCCTAGGATAAAGTTCACATAATAAAGTTTCACAAGAGTCAACACCAATGAAGAAAAAATCATGTAGAGAGCAGGCCTTAAATTTCCCCCCTGTTCACTTACATAGCATGTACACAGCATGTTGTACATTCAAGATGTAACATAGATATAATGGAATATGGATAAAAAATAAAGAATAGAATGGTATATGCATTATTTTTCATTTAATTATGAATGGAAGTGCTTAGGTTATCACACAGAATGTAGATGTTTCTAATTTTCTAAATGCTTCTTATATTTTAGCCAACTTATTAATGAAGGATAAGGCTATCAGTAATAGCTAAATTACTGCCACTGTTGGAGGCAATATGCTTCTGAATACCAGTTGCTGGAAACCACAGAAAGTGAAAGTTGTCAAGGACTGGCAGGGCTCCAAAGGGTGTGTGGCAGAGGCAGAGTGACCCAATAGATGGTACTAGAGATTTATGGGGTTTGACACTGCCCATAAGGCAAGAGGCAGGGCAGAGGGGCAGAAGGAGAGGCAGAGCAGTCTGAGAAGGAAGAAAGCATTCAGGATATGATGGAAGAAAAAGAGGCTGTTCAGGTGACAGATGGGTCAGTAGATTCCCCAGTTTCCCTTGCACCACTGTCTCCTACAACCAGGAGGGGCTTGAAGCGGGAAGAGCAGCGATGACTTCCATGCAGGAGAAGTCTCAGGTTGCAGGCACACAACGCATCAGGGCAGGGTATATAAGCTGACAGAGGGGTGGGGTCTCACTGTCACTGCAACTTCTCCATAGGGCGCAGATCTTTGGCAGACAGTTAATTAGTGGCTAGAGGCTAGAGGCATGTGTTGGTGGGTTAGGACAAAAGTACTGTTGTGTTCAAGTCCTACTTGTGTGTTACCCACAGGCTGGCCACTGTGAGAACAGGATGCTGGACTAGATGGGACATCAGTTTGATCCAGCAGCTTCTTCTTATCTTTTAAATATATTATATTATCATTCACCTCCTGCGATGATATATATAAAGCATTAAATATGCAAAATGCAAACAATTTTAAAAGAATGCAGCCAATCAACAAGAAAAATAACTATAAACACTTGCACAAACATATTAAAAATGTAAACCTGAACTGCAAGCTAAAACTGATTGTTATTGTATGTCCTGCCTTGTTTTCCTGATAATATAAGTGTGGTGCTTAGGCCAAGAGACAATGACTAATGTAGAACCATTCTGCGTTTATGTAGTTGCTCTGACTGAGACCTAGGTCCTATGTAAAACACTTTTCCTTACCATTCATAATAAAAAATAGGCAATAAAAGACACGGTAAAATTCTGACATTTAGTGTAGGTCCCTAAGGGCAAATGACACATTATGCCTAATGCATGGCATGCAGCTACATCTCTGTTGTTTGTTAAATTAATTTTGGGTGTAGGGTGCATTATTAAGAGCACAGCATATAGGAAAAGGAGATTTATGCCCCCTATATGGCTAGTAGCTAGATGCGGGTGGCGCTGTGGTCTAAACCACTGAGCCTCTTGGGCTTGCTGATGAGAAGGTTGACGGTTCGTATCCACACAACTGAGTGGGCTCCTGTCCTGCCTACCTAGCAGTTCGAAAGCACGCCAGTGCAAATAGATCAATAGGTATGGTGGATGGTCAGCACAGCAAAGGAGAGACTTTGTCTTGTGTGGGCAACCTTGTGTAGAGGAACTGTACCAATATTTATTGTAACGCCCACTATATATAGAACCAAGAGACCGATTTATAAAACCCCTGCTCATGAATGGAACACATTCGAACAGGGTGGAAAGGGTGAAATGGCTGCTGAGTGATACTGATGACTTCATAACATATAAAGTAGCACTATATGCGTTGGTGGCTAAGAAGATCAGGAGAAAAGAACTAGATAAAATAGCAGTCAATTGCAAAGGTGATTTGGACATTTAAGCTGGCACATTCTACCTGAGAACCCCTTGCTATTCTATCATATGCAACAAATAATTTTTAGGAGAAGTGATTGTGGTTTATTGTATCTGCACTGCCTGGTGTTTTTATGGTTTTTATGCTTATTGTTGCTTTTCTTTTTGTTCCCATTGTGAATGATGCCATGGCCTTTGGCTAGTGCAATAAAATTTATGATGATGGTGATGATAAATAGGTACCACTGTGGCGGGAAGGTAAACGGTGTTTCCGTGCACTCTGGTTTCTGTCACGGTGTCCCGTTGCGCCAGAAGTGATTTAGTCATGCTTGCAAAACGACCCGGAAAGCTGTCTGTGGACAAACGCCGGCTCCTTCAGCCTGAAAGCGAGATAAGCGCCGCAACCCCATAGTCGCCTTTGACTGGACTTAACCATCCAGGGGTCCTTTACCTTTACCTTTTAGTGGCCCTCATAGCTAGCCATGCAGAGGGCAACATTTTTTTATGGATTGTGGCAGGAAAGTTAGGGATAAATTTTTGCTGCCTGCATGCTGTGCCCCCCACTTCATACCTTTTTAAAAAATAGCAGGCAGATGTTACTTCTAGGGGGCAAAATTCAATTCTGTTTGCATGTAAAGGCAAATATGCCCTTTCCAGAACAATATGAGAAGCAAAATACAGCCATCCTTCAAAACTTGCACTTATGAGAATTCTGTGGTGCAGTTCTCCAAACAATGCTTTAAAAATGCATATATTAGAGAAAGGTGTAAATAAAAAGGAATAGATGAATGAATAAAAAGGAATAGATGAATGAAAATAACATACCAAAATTCATATTAGGGAAAATGCTTGCAAAAATATATACATTAGTCAAAACTGCATACAAAAATGTATTTATCTGGAGAAAAGTGCACTAAACTGCTGTGGTATTTTCATAAGCATTTTTAAAAAATCACAATTTGTTAGAAAGTGTGAGGAACTGAGTTTAAGATTGGAAAAATGAGAAGCACAGAGAACTTAAATGGAAAGTTCATTTCATCTCTAGTAACTACACGCTATTCATTAAATATAATATGTAGTTTGGCCATAATATTTCACCAGAAAGGTAAATTTCTTATAGTTGTCAAAGTTCTATAGAAAAAAATGAAACACACACACAGGCTATATCGAAACTTATAGACAGTCTTTCAAATTGCTGGAATTAAAGAAACTTCTATTCTATTTTATTCTCTGTCTTTCTTCTGCAAAGAGGGAAGTGATCTTGCAAATAAAGAGAACTAAGTGGACAATATTCGACCACTTCACTTTAATCCCCAAGTTCACCCTAGAGTTATTTTCAACCTTAACCCATATTTATAGCTTGAAAGCCCACCATGTGGGCCTCACTATCACAGCTTTTAGAGGCTACCTATCGATAAAAATCAATGGGAAACTCACATGTCTGGTGTTAAGTGACTGCATGGATGAAGGAGTTGAACCAACCTGCCGACCTTTGGTGCGAAACACACACAGAGAAAAACAGTTCATCTCTTTCAACCCCCACTCTCCTTCCCCTTGATCTGGTAACATTTGATCAAGTTGACAGCACCTTCGCTTCTCCCACTGACTATTCTTGAAAAATAAATGCCCTTCCCCCAATTGTAATGATCAGCCATCATTGCATGATCCTCTTTACAGTAGCAATGCTGTCAGATCAACTCCTGTCTGGATCCCAAAGCCAAAGAGCTACTCAACCAATAAGCCTGTAAACGCTTAATGGATATATAAGATGTCTATAAATCTAGGGAACAGGTGTACTTTAGTGCACAGGTTCATTAACAAAGTGATGGACCTTGTAAGAGAAATTGCCTTTTGTTCAGTTGTCATAAGTAGGTTTGTTAACAATGTGCTTTCTGACCTTGATGTCCAGAGAGATGTCATATAACGCTGCTATTGTGAAGATTAGAAAGTAATCACTGTTTTATAATATGTTGTGGTATGATGAACCTTTGTTAAAAATGGATTCCTGTTGAATCTCCTTGGAGGTCACAAGTTTCTAATATTGAATATGAGCCTATGAACAGGCAAGTTATACTGTAGTTACACTGTTATATACATTAGCATTTTGGGAAGCTAATGTTTAGCACCAAAAAAATTGTTTATCAGTGGGTGGACAATGTGGTGTCTTCAAATGTTGCTGGATTACAATTCCCACCACCCTAAAACCATTGATAATGCTGACTGGGGCTGATAGGAGTTGTAGTCTGAAAATGTCTGGAGGGCAGCATGTTGGCTTCCCTGCTTAAGGGTTTCCAGTAGGGGGTGTGCACTGCCAACAAAATTCACTCTAAGCTTCTTTATAAACACATTCAGTATTTTTTTAAAAAATAAAAAAGCAAATGGTTATCTCTCCCTTGCCCCCCAGCACTTTGAATTGAGCCTGGAAACTAATTGGCAGCAAGTGCAGTCTAGCCAGGATTGGTGCTAAATTCTCAAAGCGTCTTGCCCGGCTGAGCAACCTAACCACTGAATTTTGTACTAGCTGAAGTTTCAGAACTGTCTTCAGAGGCAGCTCCACATATAACATGTTGCAGTTATAACATAGAGGTTAAAAGTGCATAGTTGACAGGTAAAGGTAAAGGACCCCTGGACGGTTAAGTCCAGTCAAAGTCGACTGTGGAGTTGTGATGCTCATTTCGCTTTCAGGCCAAGGGAGCCGGCGTTTGTCTACAGACACCTTTCCGAGTCATGTGGCCAGCATGACTAACCTGCTTCTGCCACAATGGAACACTGTGACGGAAACCAGAGCTCACGGAAATGTCATTTACTTTCCCACCGCAGTGGTACCTATTTATCTACTTGCACTGGCATGCTTTCAAACTGCTAGGTTGGCAGGAGCTGGGACAGAGCAATGGGAGCTCACCCTATAGCAGGGATTCAAACCACCGACCTTCTGATCAGCAAGCCCAAGAGGCTCAGTGGTTTAAACCAGAGCGCCACTCACGTCCCATAGATGACAGACTTGATGCTATCCCAGTGTCCCTATTTTCCAGGGATGTCCCTGGTTTAGAGAAGCTGTCCTGGTTTCTGATTTGGTCCTGGAATGTCCCGCTTCTCCTTAGGATGTCCCTATTTTCATTGGAGAAATGTTGGAGGGTATGAAGTTATCCAGCCCCCAAGCCACCTGAAGGTAATCTCTTATAGGGAAGGTTTTTTTTTTTAATGTTTAATGTTTCATTATGTTTTATATATGTTGAAAGCTGCCCAGAGTGCTGGGACAACCCAATAAGATGTGGGGATAGGGTATAAATAGTAAATTTATTATTATGGATTGGGACTTCCCCATTTTCATTGGAGAAATGCTGAAGGATATGCTATCCCTGTCCAGCTAGGAGCACAGCTGGGCTACCAGCTAAAGCTGATGGAAAGCACTCTGTGCCACTGAGGCCACCTGAGCCTTAAGTGACAGCAATGGATCCAGAAGTACCCTCAAGCTGCATACCTGCTCCTTTAGAGGGAAGCACTCCCGGTCTGTGTGAATATATGTTGTTAGTCTACTGACTTTGTAAAAATATTCCAACCTGCCTTGATAGTTGATTCATCACATAAAAAATGAGCCAGAATGTTCATATGTGAGTTGATTCTTAATTCTGCCTGTGGAAGCAGCCAATTAGTACAAGCAGGCAACCCCTTAGAGGCAGGAGGCATCTGGAAAAGGTGTCAGAGACATTTATGAAGTTGTTACTTGTGGCCTCTCATTACCCACTCAGCTAAAGTAAAATACTTGCAAGACCCCCTCATTCTGGCCTCTGTTAATAAAAACAAGCATATAAGTGGCAAAATCTCACCTGCTCACGAGTGGCATAGAGAACTAAATTAAATGAAAAGCATTTGCCATGACTTCAACCCGAAAGTTCGGTGGATCTCAATGCTGCAAGTCTTTCCAGTCTCACACTTATGAATTTGCAGAGAGAATATTGCTAAAAGATACAAGCGAGGAAACATGGTGAATGAACTTTGATTTATCCCTGCTCCTGCTGGCAATTTGACATTAACAACCCATTCTAC